TTTGTGCTTTTACTCAAACCCTATGTGGGCACTGTTGACCTCATTTTATACTGAAAGAAGAAGAAACCGAGGCATAGAGGGTAAATAAATTGTACAAGTTTGCACAGCTGATAACAGAATTCAGATTTGAACCCAGGCAGGCATGTGCCACAGGCAGCTTTGTAACTTACAATGCCTTTGCTTTGGTAAGAGATCGCCACAGCACATACCTGAGCAGTGACTGACATTGTACACACTGGAGCACAGGCATCTTCCCTGCGGTCACCTGTGGGAGTCGACTACACACGTTGACCGTTGTCTGTCTCACAGCTTCTCACAGCGTGCTTCATGAGTCCTTGCCTGAAGAACAGATACTTTCAAAATGTGTACGTTAGGAGAAAACAGAAGGAAGTTAGAGCATTTCCTCAGGTACCTTTTCAGTGTTCAGAAGTTACCTAAAGATGCCAGGTTACAGTGTAGAAATCAGGTCACCCAGTTACAGACTCAGGCCTCAGTACCCACAGGGTTAAGACTTCCTCAGTAATTGCTGACCCGTGCCCTGAAGTCTGTTATTTATTCATCCCCTGGAATAACGTATCTACACGCCCCATCAAAATGACCACACTGAGCTTCATCTCACAGCACAAGGGCTGACTGGGAACAAGCCAGGACTACCTCTAAAAGGCAAATGTCCCCAAGATTGATGACTGGGTGATCTCTTGGGAGATAGTATAGCAATTATTGATTATATTACTAAGTCATAGAAAATGGGTTCTGTGATTGAGAACTCAGTGCTTTCTTTAAAATAATCCAGAGGAAGTAGAATAAATCAACGTGCAGGCACCTCACGTACCACAGACAAGTGTCACAGATAATGTGGCTTCCATATGACAAAACCAGTATCTTTACAAAATAATCACAAGGGTTACCTTGGCATGCTAAAACAAAGGGTAAAGTCTTTTTCTTTTCTGTAGTTACTTTATAAACTTGTACCAAATTCCTAATTTGTGACACTTACGTGTTTCCAAAATCAATGAAAGAGACGCCCAGGTAGCAGGTGCCAGGCAAGGCTTTTCTTTCTTTTTCAAAAATACAGATATTAATGTCACATGAGATGCTTTGACTTTAACAGATCAAACTGAAAAAATTACTTTTCCTTGGTGTTTTCTTGAGTTAAATACAACATTCTGTGCACAGTAATGCAAGTCCATTTTAGATCGTTTGAAATATTACCAATTGTGTTTATAACCACTCGTTCTGGTTTATAAGAAAAAAAAAAAATCCCAGAAGTGATCTTGCTGAAGAAGAAAAACTCAATTTGTAAAAACATCCATTTTGATTCATTAAATTGAATAGTAAGTTTCATATCAAGACAGCATCCTTTGCTTTGGAAGATTCACAGAGGGCTTATAAAACCAATCACTGAGGGGATTACTCAGGAACAGCTAGCTACTGTGAGGAGCATTACCAATAGAGTAACCGGAGGTTGAAAGAGGATGACACCCCCCCAAATTTCGATGAGGGCTAGCTCTAATTTTGTTCCACCACTAGTGAACTTGAGTTCCCTTGACATGCAGTATAGCTTGGTATTTGCTCAGCCTGGAAAACCTGCGGATGGCTTCCCGGCAAGCTCTTTGTTCCTTGGGCCCCCAGTTTTCCTGTCCAGGAACGCCAGAGATTTCATCTTTAAGGCTGCTTTTAACCTATGTGCTAGATTCCATCTCTGAAGTAATGTGTGCTTACTTGGGGGTCATGGAAATTAGCATGTTAAAGCCTCTGGTTACATGAGCACTGCAAGGTGCTGCAGTGAACCAACATGATTATCTTCTATGCCACAGGTGCTGCATGGAGCCACGGACAGAATGGGGCACAAGCATGGCTCCCCAGGGTATCTGAGCTAGGAGTTCGGGTAGGAATGTGTGACCTGACCACTGAGAGGAGGTGCTTTCTCGTGGTCATGGACTTTGAATTCTTCCAGTAGAGAATTAGCCAATGGCCCCCATGGGCAGGCTCCAGAGTTAGCATGATGGATGGGAAATGAGGCAGATACTGAATTTGTCCTTTCCCGGAGCACTGTGGGTACTCAGACTTTTCGTTTGACAAGGACTTTGTGTCTGCATATGGAGCTGCTATACCTCACTGCTCATGTTCACAGTGAGGTTGAGAACCCCTGTGCTGCTTTTGAGCATCTCAGAAGGTAGCAGGGAGAACCCATCAGCCGTGTAGAACAGGAAGCCTTCTGCTGGTTTCAGTGTTTGATCACTACAGAGGGGGCTGCCACACTCACATTTCAATTGAGTGTGTTCCTCAAAATAGGCTCCTGCATTTGCACTGGCCTGCGGGGCTCTTCATCTTGGGTAGGGCGTTCCAAGCATTGCATTTTTATAGTCGTTACCTCTGAACGCCCAGTAGCCCAACAATATATGTCTTGGAACTTTATGAACATGGTTGCTGTCTGTGCCTGCCTTGGTCCTGTCCCTGGATCCCTAAGCCAAGCACAGTTCTGATGGCTGTGCTCAGCCCATGGGGCACTTCCTGATGGGAGCCAGTGTTGAATGTGAAGTTAACTTCTTTTTTAAAAAGTGTTTTAAAATGTATTGATTTATTTTGTATGTAAGTGTACCACATGCATGCAGTATCTGAGGAGGCCAGAAAAGGGTGTCAGATTCCCTGGAACCGAAGGTATGAATGGTTGTTAGCCACCACCTGGGTGCTAGGAACTGAACCCCAGTCTTCTGTAAGGACAGCCAGTGCTCTTAACTGGTGAAACCATCTCTCCAGCCCCCAAATTAACTTCTTTTACTCAAGTTCTCACCTTCTTCCTGCTTTTCACTTGTGTTGTGTCTTCAGCCTACGAGACCCCTGTATGGAACGTGCTGTTTTCTAGGTGGTTCAACAGGTAACCACAGTGAGGTCCATGCATCCCCATCTGGAACCCAGCATACACACATCCAGAGCTTTGCTGCATGAGAATCTGTTTTGAAGCCAAGCTCAAAAGAAGTGGGAACCACTCAGGGAGCCGAAGAGAGAGCTTGCGCCTGCTCTAAAATTCAGACTTTGTTTCTAGGAAAGGTTGACACATTCATGTACAAAGACAGGTCCTTTGCCAGCCTTAGATTTGAAAACTTTATACACTGCAGAAAATAATGTGTAATACTTTAAAACATTAAACTTCTGTACTGTAATTTTATCTAACTCAACACCAGTAATTGGACTCATTTAAACCCAGGAAGGAGACAGGGAGATAACCAAATAGAGATACTGGACTGTCTATGCTTTTCCACAAACAAGCATGGGAGTCTTATTCCTTAGTTCGGTTGAATTAAATTGTATCATCTGTGTCAAGAAGCCTCAGTTTGCAAGACGGTTTAGACGATTTGGCAGAAGCAAGTTGTAGTGGAGAACACAAGAGCTGTTGTCATAAAGGAAGCCCGGCGTCTGAGACTTGCTGGTCCACCCACACCCAGCACCTGGTGAACTGCTTGGACCGATGGCTCAAGCCAATAGGTTAACTTCTCTAGATGCCATTTTCTCACATGTGATTGGAGGAAATGGACCTATTGCTCAGGGTTAAATACAACACAGCGAGACAGTGATCACAAGATGCCAAAGTCGTCAATGCACCTGCACAGACGTCTGTTCCTCCATCTCTGCACCCCCTGTAGGAAAGCATTGGGGCCCCACAGGGAGCTTGGAGTAAGAACTTATATTTGGAGATTTTAAGAATATGACCCATCAAAATACATAGAGTTTTCTGTTCCTTGTTAAAAACCCCTTCCCACCCACTGCCATTTTAAATAGTTGAGAGATTTTATTGGTTAAAATAGGAAAATGTTTTTGTCTTTTAATCTACATGGTCATAAAATGTGACTGCCCAAAAGTTTGTAGTCGTAGATAAAGATAGCTAGCAGTAACTGGTAATTCCTTGCATTTTTCTCACAGGAAAGCACTGTTAGGGTTCCTACTGAGCAGCATATCCACTGAGGTGTTGCCCGGGCTCCACAGTACTGCACTTTATTACACTGAGCCTTGTTCATTCTCATGACCTTCAATTAGCCACTCATCTTGATCCATTTTAAAGCAAGCACAATAAAAGACATTAATAGCTTAGAGCAAATCTTTATTTTTATTTTATGTGTATGAGTGTTATGCATATATGTAAGTGCACCCATGTGCAATGCCCACAGAGGACAGAGGAGGACATCGGATTCCCTGGAACTGGAGTTACAGGTGGTTGTTAGCTGCCATGTGGCTACTGGGACTCAAACCCAGGTCTTCTATAAGAATAGCTGATGCTCTGAACTGCTGAGTCATCTCTCCAGCCCCTAAAGCAAATCTTTAAAAGATTATAATTGTATAAAAGTAATTATAGATGGAGCAATGTTCAATGAAAGAAACAGAAATGAAAAGATGCCTCCACACCCCACAGCTGTGACCATGTCTAACCATAAGCATGCAATTGTAGGTATCAGCATGTAAACAGTAGGGTGAGCTTACTGCAGTCTGACCACCTTTTCTACCCTTAGCCCTTAGTCTTTCTGCATATGAAAATACATATCTTTTATCATTATTTTAGTGACTGCATGGTACTTTATAAATATAGTCTAAGTTCTTTGATTCTCTATTGATAGCCTTTTAGTCATTTTAGAGATTTAAAATTTTGCATTGTGCTATAATGAACTTTTCTAAATAGTTTCAAAGGATAATTATGGAGAAGGCAATTCTAGGTCAAAGGTAAATGCATTTAAGGACTCCATTTCTAAATTGACCTCCAACATGTAATTTTCTTGCCCAAACCTAATTCCAACATAAGTGGCAAAGTGTCACTTAAGGAAGTTAGATCAAGACAAGGTGAAATCCTAGTGATTGTGAGTCTTTCAATTTTCCTGTATTGATGCTTTAATGAAGAGATGTTCTAATGAAGCCTTTTTGAAAGCATTGCTTCTTAACAATTACTTCTGTTCTTCCTCCCATTCTCTTCTGGGTTAATCTATATTTTGTTCTTCTGTGTTTCCCTCCAGAATGGACATGTGATGTGATGGGTGTGACTATGGGACACTGTGTGGGCACATGGCCTCCTTCCTGCCTCGTCTTCCTGCTCCTCAAGATGTTGGCCACTGTCTCCCAAGGGCTGCCCGGGACAGGGCCCCTGGGTTTCCACTTCACACATTCCATCTACAATGCTACAGTGTATGAGAACTCCGCTGCAAGGACCTATGTCAACAGCCAGAGCAGAATGGGCATCTCCTTACTAGACCTGTCCTGGGATATCAAGTACCGAATAGTGTCTGGTGATGAGGAAGGCTTTTTCAAAGCTGAGGAGGTCATCATCGCAGATTTCTGCTTTCTTAGGATCAGAACTAAGGGTGGTAATTCTGCCATATTGAACAGGGAAATCCAAGACAGTTATTTATTGATGATAAAAGGTTCTGTCCGAGGAGAGGATTTAGAAGCATGGACCACAGTGAACATCCAGGTGTTAGACATGAATGACCTGAGGCCTCTGTTTTCACCCACCACGTACTCTGTCACCATTGCAGAGAGCACACCACTCAGGACTAGTGTTGCCCAGGTGACCGCAACAGACGCAGACATTGGCTCCAACGGAGAATTCTACTACTACTTTAAAAACAAGCTTGATCTCTTTTCAGTTCACCCCACAAGTGGTGTCATCTCTTTGAGTGGCCGGTTAAATTATGATGAGAAGAGCAGGTATGATCTGGAAATCTTGGCGGTGGACCGGGGAATGAAACTCTACGGCAACAATGGAGTGAGCAGCACCGCCAAACTTTATGTTCACGTTGAACGCGTCAACGAACACGCCCCAGTTATCCATGTGGTCACTCATGTTCCTTTCCCCTTGGACAAGGAGCCAACGTATGCCATAGTGACGATTGATGACATGGATGAGGGGGCCAATGGGGAGATCGAGTCTGTTTCCATCGTGGCTGGAGATCCTTTAGATCAGTTCTTCTTGGCTAAAGAAGGAAAGTGGATGAACGAGTTCAGGGTTAAGGAGAGGAGGCAGGTGGACTGGGGAAGTGTCTCCTATGGCTACAACCTCACTCTTCAAGCAAAAGACAAAGGGTCACCTCAGAAATTTTCAGCATTGAAGACAGTCCACATTGCCAACCCCAGGAAAGACACTGTCAAACCAGTCAGGTTTGAAAAGGATGTGTATGAAGTGAGCATAAGTGAGTTTTCCCCTCCTGGGGTCGTGGTGGCCATAGTCAAGCTAAGTCCTGAGCCACTGGATGTGGAATATAAACTGTCTCCTGGTGAGGATACAGAGTACTTCAAAATTAACCCTCGGTCAGGTCTGATTGTCACTGCACTGCCCCTAAACACCGTCAAGGAGGTTTATAAGCTGGAGGTAACAAACAAGGAAGGGGACAAAAAGGCACGCGTCACCATCCGCATTGAGGATGCCAACGACCACACCCCAGAATTCCAGCAGCCGGTATATGAGACTTTTGTGAATGAGAGTGTTCCCGTGGGAACGAACATCTTGACCGTGTCTGCCTCTGACAAGGATAAAGGAGAGAACGGCTACATCACCTACAGCATCGCCAGCCTGAACCTGTTGCCATTTGCCATTAATCAGTTCACAGGTGTGATCAGCACAACGGAGGAGCTGGATTTCGAATCCTCCCCAGAAACGTACAGGTTCGTTGTTAGAGCTTCTGACTGGGGCTCACCGTATCGCCATGAAAGTGAGGTGAACGTGACCATTCGCGTTGGAAACATCAACGACAACAGCCCCCTCTTCGAAAAGGTGGCTTGCCAGGGAGTCATTTCATATGACTTTCCCGTTGGTGGCCACATCACAGCCATCTCTGCCGTTGATATTGATGAGCTACAACTTGTCAAGTACAAAATCATTTCTGGAAATGAGCTTGGTTTCTTTTACTTAAACCCAGACTCTGGTGTTTTACAGCTTAAAAAGTCACTGATGAATTCTGGCATTAAAAATGGTAATTTTGCCCTCAGAATCACAGCCACGGATGGGGAGAACTTTGCGGATCCCATGGCCATTAATATTTCCGTCCTCCACGGCAAAGTGTCTTCAAAGAGCTTCAGTTGCAGAGAAACCCGTGTGGCTCAGAAACTGGCAGAAAAATTACTCATTAAAGCAAAAGCTAACGGGAAGCTGAATCTGGAAGATGGATTTCTTGACTTCTATTCCATTAATAGGCAAGGACCACACTTTGACAAGTCTTTTCCCTCCGACGTGGCTGTGAAGGAAAATCTGCCAGTTGGCACGGACATCCTGAAGATTAAAGCTTATGATGCTGACTCGGGCTTCAACGGGAAGGTGCTGTTTACAATCTCTGATGGGAATACAGACAGCTGCTTCACTATCGATATGGAGACGGGACAACTTAAGGTTCTCATGCCCATGGACAGAGAGCACACAGACCTTTATCTCCTCAACATCACCATTTACGACCTGGGTAAGCCACAAAAATCCTCATGGCGGCTGCTGACTGTCAATGTGGAGGATGCCAATGACAACAGCCCGGTGTTCCTGCAGGATGGCTACTCGGTCAACATTCTGGAAAGTTCAAGTATTGGCACTGAGATCATTCAAGTGGAAGCCAGAGACCGAGACCTGGGTTCTAATGGTGAGGTGACATACTCCGTCCTGACAGAAGCACGGCAGTTTGCCATCAATAGCTCAACTGGAATTGTTTATGTAGCAGATCAATTAGACCGGGAATCCAAAGCCAACTATTCTTTGAAAATAGAAGCCAGGGACAAGGCGGAAAGTGGTCAGCAGCTGTTCTCGGTTGTCACCCTGAAGGTTTTCTTGGATGATGTCAACGACTGCTCCCCAGGTTTCATCCCCAGTAGCTACAGTGTGAAAGTCCTCGAAGATCTCCCGGTTGGCACAGTCATTGCTTGGCTGGAGACCCAGGATCCTGATCTTGGATTGGGGGGTCAAGTGCGCTATTCTTTGGTCAATGACTATAACGGAAGGTTTGATATAGACAAAGCGAGCGGTGCCATCCGCTTGAGCAAAGAGCTGGACTACGAGAAGCAGCAGTTCTACAACCTCACCGTTCGGGCCAAAGACAAAGGGCGGCCCGTCTCCCTGTCATCTGTCTCCTTTGTTGAGGTAGAAGTGGTGGATGTCAACGAGAACCTTCACACCCCCCATTTCCCAGACTTTGCTGTTGTTGGATCTGTAAAGGAAAACTCTCGCATTGGCACGAGTGTGCTGCGGGTGACTGCCCATGATGAGGATTCCGGGAGGGATGGAGAGATCCAGTACTCCATCAGGGATGGCAGTGGTCTCGGGAGGTTCACTATAGACGACGAGACTGGTGAGTTTAATGTTTTATGCCCAAACTGTCCCGTCACCTTTCCCAGTTGCCAGGATTAGCCTAAGAATTAGGACATTGATGCAGATAGGAAGAGATTCTGCATTTGGGGAGAGCTGACAGAAAAGCTGTGTCTTACGGTGGGTTGGCTTTAAGTGGATCTGTTTAGGCCAGAGCAGCTGTGGTGTGCAGCGAGTCCTGGTTCCGTGTTGTTTTTCTCGCTCCGTGTTGCTCGTACCCAGCTGTCCTCTGAATCTTTGCTTCATGTTATGTCTGTTGATTGCAATCCTGACCTTTGCTGAATGAATGGTCCTGGTGAGCTGAATCACATTTGAATTGGCTTTAAATTAGAAGTGTGAAACTGAGCTGCAGATGCATCTTACATAGGAATTTCCCTTTACAGTGATGCTTTGCTGGAGGGATTGTTACCTGGTCTTTCGTGGTGACCCGGTACATCTGACCCTTGAGTGACAGGCATTCGTGCTCTGTGTGCCCCATTAATACATGGACATGTGAATCCACTTCTGCTCAAGAATGAAGGCAATTTGTGAATTCATTTTATAAAACTTGATTATAAGACATTATTGTAGAAATTGATTTTATAGATATTTTAAAATATGGAGCAAGGGGCTGGTGAGATGGCTCAGCAGTTAAGGCCACTGGCTGCTCTTCCTGAGGACCCAGCTTTGACCCCCAGCACCCATATGCCAGCTAACAACTTTCTGTAACTCCAGTTCCAGGGGCTCCAACAACCTCTTCTGGCCTCTGTGTGCTTTGCACAACATGGGTGTACCTATGTACATGCTTGCAAAACACTCACACAAATAAAAATAAAAATAAATCGAAATATTTTCTAATTAAAAAAATAAAATGTGGAGCAGAATTACCAAATATTTCATATCCCACCCTACTCTTTACCTTCCATCAGAGATACCAGCACAATTTTTTAAATGCCTATTATAGTTACTTATCTTTAATTGTGTGTCTGCCTGGGCACATTTGTGTGTGCATGCATGTGTGTGCATACGTGTGTGTGTACATGTGTGTGCGTGTTGCCATCCATTAGCACTGTGCATTTTTCTAATCTTAGTAGAAAGCAGACATCTCAAGAGAGGGAGATGTGCCTTTATTTCTCTGTAAATGATATTTGTGCTTTGTGTTTTTAGTGCTAATCTATCACATTAACTAATTTTCCACAGCAGTCGTGGAATTTTCTGCTCCGTATCTTACACAATTGGGCTACGAGAGCGTGTACCATATGCTGGGTGGCTTCAACACTTGTTTCTCCAAGTTGTGGAAGCCGGAGGTCTGAGGTCAGGGTGCCCACGTAGGCGAGGTGAAATCCTTGTAGCTTATAATAAGGCAGCTTCACAGCCTCCTGCTTCCTCTCATGGTGGAAAGACTAGGGTTGGTGTCTTTTTCTAAGCACTCTATTCCAGTCCCCTCATGAGGACTCCATCTTTAAAACCCCATTCAAACCCAATTTCCACAAAATCCTTGACTCAAAATTAAAAATTCTATCACATTGGGAGAGGGGGTTGGCCTTCAGCATGTGCGTTTTAGAGGAGATACAAGTATACATGCTATAACAATCTTGGTAATAATTATGTTGATCTGGTAAGAACACACAATAGGAAGTTGTCATTGTGAGATACATGTGTGTATATGTATGTATGTAAGAATGTATATGTATAAACTATTCATAATACTCGGAAAGGAATTTTGAAAATGTTATTCAACATTGGATAGAAAAGCAATTGTACTTACCATCTCAAATTTAAACAGTTTTTGGTCATTTAGGCATTTGTTAAGGCCAAAGTCAGTTGGAACATTGACCTACACACACACACACACACACACTTTAAAACCTGTATTTTTTCCATTGGATTCTGGACCATGTAAAATATACTTTTAAATTTGTAGTAATGTTCATGTATAATTTCATCTATAATGTCAATTCCATTATAACATTACCTGATGACTTAAAAAGCTGTGCTATAAACATAGACTCCTTTGGGTCAAAGCAGCTGAGGAAATTATGAAGGGCCAGCTCTGCATTGAACGTGGACGCGAAGCTGAATCTGGAACCTGAGTCTCCTGAGTCCTGACCTGGTGCTATTTTTCTGTGTGTTTAGTGCATATTTTTCTGATTTATTTTAATTTCCAAAGGTCTAGTAACAATTTCTTTTTGCACCTCTCATTTCATTTCGTTCTCTGAGATAATAAAACTTGTTTTTTTCTTTGAGATATAGAGAAGAGGTCTGGCTATATTACTGAAATTTTATGATGAAGAGCAGAGCTCCCACATAATACTCTCCAGCATCTTCCTTCCCTGCATCTCACTGTACCCAGATTTTAAGATTTAGGCCCCAGAAGCTGATGAGTAATGGCTGTGCACTCACACCAGGGGGACAGAGGGTGAAGCAGCTTCACAACAAAGAAAGCATCACCACAGAGCTCTTAGGTCACATCACTCTTGAAGTATCCATCAATTCTTTGCCCTCAAGTACTGAAAATCACAGTTAGAGCCATGGCAGAATGAATGGCTGCCAAGCCTGGCAGCCACTTCCAAGACTCAGGCTCAGACTTTGCTGTGCCCACTTGACCTGTTTGGATTTTTGTCTTTTAAAACTTTTAAGTCAGCTGCCAAAGGTTACTCAGTGGATTGCACTAGTTACTGGTGCTCAGGTTCAGAGTGTGAATCCTGGGGGAGATGATTAATAATGAATGTCCCTGGCACATCCCCAGACTGTGAGTCGGTAGATCTGGGTGAGCCTGGGAACCTCCTGAGTTGGTAGATCTGGGTTAGCCTGGGAACCTCCATGCCAGCTTTCTAAGCATTCCTGCCCCCAGGACTTTCACCCTTTACGTGAGCTCCCAAGGGCCTGGCATCCTCTGTTTTTCTAAGTTTTTTTTTTTTTTTTTCCTATTCTTTTCACAGGCAGGCAATTTAGCCCAGGTGTTAGACTCATTTCTTTTCTAATCAAATTTTACAATCCAAATAACCTTTTAGTATTCCTCAGTGTAAATCTTTTTCTGAATACATTTCTGGTGGATCTTCAATCTGTTTGTGCCTCAATAATTATGGAGCTTTTGCTTTGTGAAAGGGTAGACATTGTGGACAGTCGGTGCATTTAGTAGGTTTTATATTCTTGGCTCTTTTGGAGCTCAGTGAACAAAGCCACACCTTTGAAATTCTTTACCACGCACAGGTACTTATTAACTGTTTAATAATGTTCGCAGTAGAAGGATTAACTCCAACCCATGCTACATTGGGTCTGGTCACAATTTAAGACACTACTCTGTAAGATGCAATTTAATTACCTTTTCCTTCACAAAGGCTGCATTCTTATTTTTTGGCCTAATGAGAATTCATATTCTTGACTACTCAGAGCTATTAGAAGATTCTAGAAAAAACACATTGTATTTTTTAAACTATGACTTTCTATCAGATTCTTTTGTATGCCATAAACTTAAGCAAAGATTTTATTATTTTGTTTATTTGAGGTTAACAAAAGAAATAATTATGACAAATAATCTCCAGTTTGTGACTTTAATCAGACATATTTGGGATCATATGGTACATACATTATTACTATTTATTTCTTCCATTTACTAAGAATCTATAATGTTTGGGTTGGAATTTCTTGCCCATTTCCCCATGTCTATGCTGGACTTTTACATGGTTTGAGCTTGCACAGGACTTGTGCATGCTGTCACTGTTACTGTGTTTCTGTGAGTTCATATCCGTAAATGACAAGCTGTCTGGACAACTCTGATGCCTGCTGGGAGGGGGAAGACAGTGTCTTACAGGGATGGAACTCTTGGTGGGCCCAGTGGATGGACGCTCCCTGAAGGATATTTGAGGACACAGCTCAGCCTCTGTAGGCTATGTTATACACATACAAGTAATTGTACTTACCAGGAGGGCAGTGGGGTTAGGTAAAGATGGGGGATCGAAATACCATCAAACTGTGTTGTACGAAAACTGCAAACATTCAGTGAAAAAATTAAGTTTTTTAAAAAAGAATCCACAATGATCCAGGCCATGATAGTTTCTGAGAGTGCTAAGAGAGAGTCTCAGTCCATCTGGACTTCTGTAACCCAGTACCTACCCTGAATAATACCACCACCCGGGGTCACAGTGTTAGCTGACAGTGCTGGCAACTAAATTCCAGTGGAATGGAATCCGAATCGTGCAGTGTTTCCCCCTAGCTCCAAGGAAGCCTTCATAAGTTTATGAAACATCCATGCTATCAATTTTTTATGCATTACTGCTTCTTAATGAAACAATTCAAATTGACTTTTTAAAACTCTTTTCTTGATCTGGAGTCTTTGAGTCCCCTGAAGCAGTTTTGTTGCATACTAGATTGGGTCATGATCTAGTCCCTGTGTCTTCTACCAAAGAAAGGATGCTTGTGACTTATAAAGTCTCTCAAACCCTCCACTCAGAACTGTGCCATATTCCAAAAGTCAGAGCACATCACCAGGCCAAGCTCAGCACTGACATGGGGTCGAGGAGGAGAACCCTCACTGCAGTCTGAAAGCCCGTGTCCAGTCAGTGTTGGAACCTAATAGTAGTGGGGAAGTATTAAGAAGTGGGTTCTGTGGGAGTTAATATCCTTAGGATAATGGCACAAATGGGCTTCCTTCCCCTTCTTTCGCGAGGGTGTGTAGTCAAAGGAACCATCTCTGGGGAATGAGCACCCACCAGACTGCGTCTGTTCTCACTATGACTTTGCACTTTTCCAGCCTCTAGATCTCTTGAAGCTGTGAGCAATATTTCTGTTGCTGGTGGTAAACTATTCAGGGTAGGTACTGGGTTATGGAAGTCCAAGTGGATGGAGACTCTTTTACTAAGGGAGAGGAAGAGGAGTGCATAATCCTGAATAATGAACAGCCACGACATGTGAGAACACTCACAGTGCCTTCCTTAGCTTAGCTCACATGAATTGACCATTGTGGAAGGCACCGGGCAGGAACTAGTGATGTCAAGGGACACA